TATGATGAAAGACAAGAACATATCTATTCAGAAAGTGCAGCGAACCCCAAACAGGATAGACCCCAAAAGAAAATCACCAAGACACATCATCACCAAACTCATCAAAACCAAAGACAAAGACAGAATCCTGAAAGCAGCATTGGGAAAAACAAAAAGTTACCTACAAAGGACAGCCAGTAAGAATCAGCTCTGATTTCTCAGCAGAAACCATGAAAGTGAGAAGGCAAGGGGATGGTATATATAAAACCCTGAAAGAGAAAAATTTTCAACCAAGAATTATATACCCTAATAAATATCTATGGACCCAATGAAAAAGCCCCAAAATACATAGCTCAGACGTTAAAAGAGTTGAAAAGCCAAATAGATGACTCCACACTCATAGTGGGAGACTTTAATACACCACTTTCTTTGAAAGATAGAACAACTGAAAAGAAACTCAACAAAGATGTAGAAGAGGTAAACAATTCAATCCACCAACTTGGCCTTATAGACATCTACGAGCACTTCACCCAACAGCAGCACAATATACAATCTTCTTCAGTGCACATGGAACATTTTCCATGATAGACTGTATGTTAGGACATAAAGCAAGCCTTCAAAAATTTAAAAACATTGAAATACTGCAAAGCATCTTCTCAGATCATAATGCTATCAACTTAGAAATCAACAATAGGAAGATCAACAGGAAAAGAGTAAACACATGGATACTGAACAACACCCACGTTGAGAAAGACTGGGTAAGAGAAGAAATCAAAATTGAATTTTGAAAATTCCTTGCATCAAACGGGAATGAAAACACAACATACCATAATCTTTGGGACACGGCAAAAACAGTGATCAGAGGCCAATTTATAGCAATAAATGCACACATTCAAAAAGAAGAAAGACCCAAAATCAACACTTTAAAGCAACATCTCCAACAATTAGTGAAAGAACAGCAAGAAAAGCCCTCAGTCACTAGAAGAAAGGAAATAATCAAGATTTGAGCAGAAATCAATGAAACGGAA